ATTTAAAGTTTAATTAATCTGAATTTAAACAAATATTACTTTTAGTTTAAGATAACGCACGAAAAAATATGTCAATATTGTGATTTTCTTTCTTCGTTTAATGATAATGTTATTAAGCTTATCAGACGATATGAAAAGAATTTACATAAAATAAATATACAACACTTTTCTATATTATTTAATGAAACATGTACCAATATATATATATATATATATATATATATATATATATATATATATATATAAAAAGTTGTAGCTTATGTCTATCTGTTTGTTATCGAACTAATCTTAGGGTTTTGGAGATAGACCCCCATAACCATATATATTCTGAAACTACATTACCCAGGGTACTTAGATAAGTGTATTTCATTTTCATCAAAGGAGGCCCCCGGGAGTCACAAAGCCCACTTTTTTTCCCTTTGATTTAAATTAAATTTAAATTTGAAGAAGGGAATGATTCCTATCCCAAATATAGAAGGAGAAAACCAGAAGATGGAGGTCACATCGGCAAGATCAAAATGAGACAATATGGACGTCAAGTTGATCAAGAAATCACCAGTCAGTGGGTAGTGCTTTACAATACATATTTGTTGCGACAATTCAACTGTCATATCAATGTTGAAATCTGCTCATCAGTTCATACAATCAAGTATTGCATCAAATACATATCAAAGGGGTCAGATAAAGCTGTTTTTGAGCCCCTCTCATTTTTTCCCTTTGATTTAAATTAAATTTAAATTTGAACAGGAAATGATTCCTATCCAAAATATAGAAGGAGAAAGCCAGAAGATGGAGGTCACGTAGGCAAGATCATTGAGTAACATTAAAATGCATCATTTTTCTTCACAAATTATAACAATGATTTAAAAATCAATCATCATTTTCGTACAAAAAATGTGTGACACGCAGCAAGGTGCGGGTAATTCAGCTAGTATGTATATAAAATGACTCAATCTCCACATATTTTTTTATTATCTGTGAATAACCAAGACTTTTGGGGGAAGACAGTGGCGAGATTTTCGGTGTGGAATTCAGAGTTTTTCTTCTCTTATAATGGTTGCCACCCAAATCTAAAGACTTGAGTTGACATTGCTATTTAACCCATAGATAAGAGGGGAGAGACAAATTCATGTCTTTTCCTAGGAGAATAGTGTGAAAATGAACGTAACGTACTTGGCTGGAATTTGAACTTGATACACCGATAATTATTTAACTAATCCCGGTTTAATATGTCACAAGATTACAAATGTAGAGCGCTTAGTCAGGATCGAACTAGTAAATTAGCTAGCGAGACGAGTTTAATAACAATCTGATTAAGATAGAGAGAAATTTGTGGAGATTTATTCTGGCACAAAAATACGGGGGCTGTCAAGGAAACCCGATCTCATTGCTCTCTTAAATCGGTCTACAAGACGGGACTTGCAACTATCGCCCTAGAGCAGGCGTCCTATTACAAGTGGGTGTATTTGGTTCCTTGGCTTAGTTTAATGTGACACAAGGCCGCCATAGTTAAGATCAGAAATAGCTAAACAAGACAGTCGTATGCGTTTTAGTAATCAACGATTTGGCGACAATTCTGTCAAGGTAACGTAATATAATCTCAAGAAATATGCAAAATATAAATTTACTTCTGAGGAAAAAGGACGAAGCTATTTGAAAAGATCGCTGGTGGCTTTAAAAACTGGCATTTTGACAAGCAATCTTACCAGTCATCCGAGCAGATATCGGTCATAAAACCATTAACGCCCCAGGCGAGACAAAGAAGGCCATCCCACCTCTGACTTGAATGACAAATTTATTTTAGGTAATTAAAATGGAGAGTTCAAAGAAAAAACAATGTTCACCTCCGCCAGATATCTACCTACATATTTATCACAATCATTTTATATCTTTCTCAGTAAGGCAATATCTATTTCAATTTCTTAACAATGTCATTTTCCCTTTTTTCGTATCGTATCGTATCTATCTATCTATCTATCTATCTATCTATCTATCTATCATAATAATAATAATAATGATAATAATAATATGGAGATCTAAACCTTTGTATGGAAAGTACCCAAATCGTTTGGATGAACCAGACATCAATGTTCGGGCAATATATTCATTGACATGTCTGTTTGAACTATGCTATTGAAGTCCCGGATACATGATACAAACACAACTCAAATAATGTCGCAAATGGTCATGAAGTGGCTATACAGTGGAATTTCCCCAATCGTCACAGGAAAATTGATGCCAATAGACCAGACATCGTCACAAGAGATTTAAAAAAAGGAATCTGCCAACTAATTTCTATGATTTGCCCGCAGGTTTCTAATGTTTCTAAAACAAGAATTTCAAAAACTGTCAAATTATAACGACTTGCAAATCGAAGTAACAAAAATGTGGAAACTTAAAACTACGAGTATCCCTGTTGTAATGGGGCATTGGATTTGATAAAGAACAGTACGGAAGATCATGTGAGTAAGATTCCTGGAAAACATCAGCATCTCAGAGTTACAAAAGATTACTTTGTGTGGAACTGCATATATACCATCCCCCAAACCCTCTCCTTCTAAACGAAATGTACCAAATGTGCATAGATAACTTTCCTACAGTCGCCATTTTTATTCATAGACCCCAAGGGGAGTTGGTAATTAGGCACTTAAAGTTATTCTCTGGCAAGATGATACCACACAAAATAATAAGAGAAGTTAACCTCATACTCATTGAATGTCCGAAGTTAGCAGAGAAAGAGTAGTATAACAATATGATTAGGTTGGAAAGAGAATCTACTGGAAATTATGGTGTAATTTTGGATTCAATCTAAAAGAGAAATGGTATGATTCAGTTGAAGCCAATTGTAGAAAATGCGAGGAGATATTATGGGATTTCTCGGTCCAGATATTATGGGATTTCTCGGTCCAAATATTATGGGATTTCACGGTCCAGATATTATGGGATTTCGCGGTTTAGATGTTATGAGATTCTCGCTCCAGATATTATGGGATTTCACGGTCCAGATGTTATGGGATTTCATGGTCCAGATGTTATGGGATTTCACGGTCCAGATATTATGGGATTTCTCGGTCCAGATATTATGGGATTTCGCGGTCCAGATATTATGGGATTTCGCGATTGGACAGCTCATATCATTAAATCACAGCGACTCTACCCTAATGTGATAGATGAGGAGAGTAGCAATTATCAAATTATCGATTCTTCTGTTCCATACGACACAAGAGGGGACTCAACAGAAACGGAAACGATTAAAAAAAGAACCAGGATTTGGATAGGGAGTTGAAGAAGCTATGGAACATGGCTATTCAAGTAATTCCTACAGTAATGGATTTGTCTAGATTTAGTTTGGTTTGGTTTGTTTTACGGCATGTCAACCTCAATGGGTTATTTAATGCCGGAAAGATTTTTATTGCTAGTAATATTTTTTTCAAAATGTATTACTGGTAATATTTTTTTCCTTCAAAAATATATTATTGGTATTAAAACCTATTTTTACCCTTTCATAATGTTTTGACCCCAGTTTGGGGGTTAACTATTTGCCCATAGCTGGGACTCTAACAGGTGCTACCACCACCGGCCAGGAAACCGTAGCGGTCTCTAAATGATGACATTTCATCACAGCTAAAAAACGAAAACCTTTTTTTTCTTCTACCGCCCTTCTTAGTCACTAGACAAACAGTAGGACTTTTGATTCCCAATAAACAGGGGTGAGAATTTGACTGCTACAAAATCAAGAAAAACCATGCTCTAAATCTTATTACCAGTTTAATCCTCAAAAGAATTCTGGACTGAGACATTCAAGTAAGTTAAACGAAAGAGAATACATAATACGAACAAATAATCATAATACTAAAAACATTTATGCTCCGTGTCACATATCACAATTTAACAGACATCAAAGAAAATACGTCTGTAAATTTGTTATCAACATCCAATTACATGAAAGGGAATAACGTCTCAATTCAATATCCTCTTGTGTTTTCTGTCACGTGTTTTACCTCACAATTCATTTGCAGCAATAGCCCAGGAGATTCCTCTGCTATAATTTGGAGCTAGATAAAGTTACAGTAACTTGTTACGTTTTTCTTTTACTACTACAACCAAAACCTTACACTCATAATAGTAGTAACCCCTCACACTTAATTTGCAGCAGTGGTGACATACACTACCAATTTCTTCAATAGGCACAAAATAGTAAATAAACAAAATTCAGAAAAGTATGTTTTATTTTTGAAAGATTTTTTAATAAAGAGAATTACATTGTACTAACTGATGGCTAAAAATGTCGATAAAATCAGCGATTTTTTTCTCAATTTCAAAACAAATACTCCTTCCAGTCAATTTATATTACTATGACAGGCAGCAAAGTATATTGCTTATTGGAAATATTAAATTGAATCTATTAGCTTGAAATTAAAACTCAAATAAAAGCTTCTAAAAAGATTTTTAATTTTTAAAATTCATTTTAATCCTTTTTAAGGTATCGCGTTTCTGTGAAGTTACCTACATAAAAGGGAATAACGTTTCAACTCAATATCCTGTTGTGTTTTCTGTCACATGTTTTTCTTCACAATTCATTTTCAGCAGGAACCCGGAAGATTCCTCTGCTATATGCACCACCAATTACTTCAAAACTTAAAGTGTAGAAATAATTGGAATTGAGATCAACATTAGTGACTTCGAGAAACTTGGCATTCTTTATTCTGAAAGGATTCTCCGAAAAGTTCATAAGTTTTGAGGATTACTTGATTATTTCGGTTTCTACGGCTTATCAACACTTTGCAGGTTATTTAAAGCCAGAAAATGTTTTTAAATTGTAATGGTAGAAGTAATAATGGTTTACTTATTAATTAACTCATAGCTGGGGGAGTCATACCCTTCCCAAGGGTATTTTCACTTAAGTAAACGAACTCAATTGGAATTGGAACTTGGCTTTCCAATTAATAACTCTGAGCCATTAGACATTACACCATCCGCACATCCAATCCTATAGTATTTGGTATTTCCAAGCGGTCACCTATCTAGTTACTGACCAGGCTCGACATTGCTTAACTTCAGTGATCGTATGGGAACCGTTTTTTTCAGCGTGATATAGCCGTAAGATTAGCAGCTCAGTCCAAATCTTCTTTACAGTTAAAATGGATAGTTATAACCGTAAGTTCTATGTTAACATTTTTTTTATTTCGCACTTCTCGCTTGTGGAACTCTCTTTCAGCTTTTTGCTTTCCAGTCAAGTTTTATGTTAAAAAATTTGAATGCAATGTCAATCGTTATCTACTGTCTTCTTAATTCCTCTTCTTTTATTGTGCTCTCTCCTTAATAATGTTTTTTCTCTTATTCTTTCACACTCAGTAACCTCTTGCATCTCAGTGGCTTTATTGCTTTCAGTTATGTGCCACACGTGATGCACGCGTAGGTGATCATGTATCTTTCGATATATAACTGACGAGGCAGATTTTTTTCCGTAGTAGGTTGCCATTTCTTTCTGTGGTAGATCAGTTGCCATCCTAGGCTATAGAAACCAATCTGTTCTGCTATTTACCCATAAATAGGGGAAGAAGAAGAGAATCCATACCTTTCCCAGGGGTATTAGCACGTAAGTGAATGTAATGCATTATCCAATCTATCTATCTATCTATCTATCTATCTATCTATCTATATATATATATATATATATATATATATATATATATATATATATATATATATATATATATATATGAAGAAATATAGCCTTAAGGTGTGCTATATTTATGGGATAAAGTGCTCAATATCAGAGATAGAGCGTGTGAATATAAAAAGTGAACATAAAATCAACACTTAAGGCGACAGTCTGTTTCATGCTATATGCAACCATCTGGCCTGACGATTGCATATAGCATGAAACAGACTGTCGCCTCTAAATGTTGACTTCTATATTCATTATATATATATATATATATATATATATATATATATATATATATATATATATATAGGGTGTCCCAAAATAATGTATACACTCTTTGAATCGTTATAACGTATTCAATTTATGTGTTTTGACTTGTAAATAAGATTAATACAAGTTAAAAAATACACATTTAAAGAATTTGAGAATAAAATATGCAAAATATGCATAGAAAATTAAGATAAAAAAAAGTAAGCTAAAAAGCTACTTGGGTCAATGGCAGAATGTTCATATAATGATGAGTTCAAATCAAGTGCTCAAAATGGTTGCCGTTCTGTTCAATACACTTTTCAGATCTTGAAGAAATTGACCTACAAACGTCGAGTATCATTTCCTCTGTTATTTGAGTACATTCTTCTTCAATTGCTACTTTCAATTCAGCAATTTTTTCAGGTTTCCTGCTGTAAACTTTGTCTTTTAGAAAACCCCACAAAAAGAAATCCAAGGGTGTCAAATCTGGTGATCTAGGTGGGTATCCAACTGTCCCTCTTCTTCCAATCCATCTGTTTTGCATATTTTCATCCATATAATTTCTCACATCACGGTAATGTATTATTAACTATTAATATTTAAAGAGTGTATACATTATTTTGGGACACCACACACACACACACACACACACACACACACTATATATATATATATATATATATATATATATATATATATATATCATCCACATACAGGCCTGTTTCGCTGTATCACAACTCATCAGTGCAGCTAGATATCGGGTTGCTTCGAGCCGGGACCGAAACCCGACCGATTTGGCATCAGTCGGAGTTTCTACCCATGGGGGTGAAATACCTCTGTTCATGAGCAGGTGTAATGGGGGAGCATCATGGCTATGATTGATTTTTTTTTTTTACAGTTTATCGACTCTTTGCAGTTAATTTAAAGCTAGAAAATATTTTTAGATAGTAAGAATTTTTGTTTTTAGAGATAACACTGGTACATGTTCTACTATTTAACCCATACCTGGAATCGGGAAAAGAGGTGGATTCTTACGTTTCCCCAAAGGTATTTGAGCGTAAGTGACTATACCGAAACCGACTGGAATTGGAACTCAGCTCTCCGATTTCTAATTCCTAGTCGTTATCCTTCACACCACCCATACACCCAAGTTTACAGCACCTGGTATTCCTAAGCGGTCACCCATCTAGGAGCTGACCAAACTCGGCGTTGCTTAACTTCGGTTATCGTACCAAACTCATTTTTCTCATTTTGAATCTTACATCCTCTTTTTATGTGCCGTGTCCCTTCAGGACCTAGGCGATCATGGCTCTCCACAATTTCCTGTCCTCTGTAGGTCTTAATACATTTTGTCTTTTTGTTATCTCTGCTAAACCCTGTTCCGACATCCATTTACTCAATCTCATTCTTCTTCTATGTGCTGTATCCCTTCAGGACCTAGGCGATCATGTCTCTCCACAATTTCCTGCCCTTTGTAACTCTTAATAAATTTTGTCTTTTTTTCTCCCAAACCCTGTTCCAACATCCATTTACTCAAGCTCACTATGTTATGCATTGTTTTCCTCTGTCCAACTTGCCTTCAGTCTGCCCTGTGAGTATCAGATTTTCCAAACCTTCTTTCCTCATTATGTATCCTAGAAATTTCAACTGTCTCTTCCTGATGTTAAGCACAAGTTTCCTTTTTGTTTCCATTTTCTATAAAACCTCGTTGTTGCTCACATAATCGATCCATGGTACCCTCAGCATCCTTCTGTAGAACCACATTTCTTCAAGTCTCTTCTTCATTTGTGAGGAGATTGTCGAGCATTCACTGCCATACAGATATCACGTAACAGTTTGGTACTCTTTTCCTTGTTTTTAGCTAAGTTTTTCTATTTCTGAATGCTCTGCTTAGCTTTTTCAATGCATCTTTGGCCATCCCAATACGCCCCCGGATTTCATTGTCACACTTTCCCTCCTCTGTTAAAACACTTCCTCGATATTTAAACTTTTATACTTGTTTGATTTTGGTATCCCCGATTTGCAATTTGCACTTTGGGCTGACCCTTTTGCTAACAACCATGAATTAAACTACACTAAAAAGACGAATTGAAGGTTCCAGATGTTATGCAGTCTGTGTTTTGTCATTTAACATACGAAATTTGCATGCATAGCTTAATCTGAGATTCTGTTAATCTTGAGGGGGTTTCAAGATGCTCATAACTTTTGCATATCTTATTCTCAGGCCTGTATCTGCAGTCTTCTCACGATCAGGTGATTTATTGCATTATTGTCCTGAATGACTAAACAGAGCCGGTGGGTACTACCCCTGAACCACTGACCCGGGAAAGGCCAACCCTGACGGACGTTCCCGGGCAGTGCTACCCCTGAACCACTGACCCGGGAAAGGCCAACCCTGACGGACGTTCTCGGGCAGTGCTATCTTATCACCATTAGCTTTTTTCCACTTATATTTATGTACGTTGCAAATTAAAATAAGTCCAACTGACTATTAAAGTTTGTAAAATTTTCGCAGATTTTGACGTCATTCTGGGGATTTTTTTTCGTCCAAATCCGTGAATTTGTTTAGTTCATGTTAAGTTTCGAAAAAAAAAACTATAAAAATTCGCTATTTTTTATCCATAATGTTGAACATGTTAAAATTCTTCAATGTTTTTAACAAGAAAAGAGCCATGATCACCAACGTCCTGAAGGGACATGGCATATAGAAAAAGAATGAGCTTGAGTAAATGGATGGCAAAAAAAGGTTTAGAGGAGATAACAAAAAGACAAAATTTATTAAGAGCTACAAAGGACAGGAAATTGTGGAGAGCCATGACCACCGATGTGCTGAAGGGTCACGGTGCATAGAAGAATTAGTTCAGTCCCATTTTCAAATTTAGCCTGCCACCAATTGAAACTTGCTATAGTTACTGTCTCTCATCTGAAACCCTCACGTGGTTGCTTGCATAATTTAGTGCCAGAGATAATGGATGGCAGAACAATGTTTAGGGGAGATAACAGACTAAATTTCATAAGAGCTACAAGGTCAGGAAATTGTGGAGAGCCATGATCACCAATGTGCTGAAGGGTCACGGTGCATAGAAAAGAAGTTCAGTCCCATTTCCAGATTTAGCCTGCCGCCAATTGAAATTCTCACATGGTTGTTGAATGGGTTAAAATTATTCAACTTTTTAATAATAAAAATCTCAAGTTGATGTTAAAAATTGCCTCAAAACATTCTTGATTTATTTAAGATGAAATGATCTATTATGACAGGTCTCTAATTTGTATTTAGATACATTGGATTTAATTTCAATATTTCTAGTTGAAATGTTCACCTATATTGCATATGATCGATTATTGTACAAAACTAGGTTAGAATAAAACTTATTTTATATAAATGCTACCTTATGAAAATTGAGATGTACAGTATCATAGATTCAGGAATGAGGTCGGGGTGGGTGCTTGCACCGGCTCTGTGACGAGAAATACGATTCCGAACAGCCTAATAGTAAAAAATTAAGTGCCTCATTTATTTTGCCCGTCATTGTACAAGTGCAAGTTTTAAAAAACTGGCTTATCTTTTTAAACAGTACGTTTTAATACAGCTCACGTTACTTTAAAAAAATAATACTGTCATGTTTAAACATAAGAAGAAGATGAAGTTGACTCTATGAGAAGCCACGTGTAATTGTATATTTTTCTTCAATGTCTGTAAGATTTACTGTCGCCACTGCGAGGGGAGAAAATTGTTAACTCATTTGCATTGGCGTCACCGTTGAGATCTTTTGGATGACAACTGCGAAATGTTCAAAGATGCTTACACAGACGGAAGTTGAACAGTATACGAAAGTATAATAACAATAATAATAATAATAATAATAATAATAATAAGAAGAAGAAGAAGAAGAAGAAGAAGAAAAATAATTAAATACTCACATCTATATTCTAATAATAGTAATGGTAAGACTAATAGATAGATAGAATGGAAGAGGACGAGATAGATAGATAGATAGATAGATAGATAGATAGATAGATAGATAGATAGATAGATTGGAAGGCGATGAGATAGATCGCTAGATAGATAAACAGACATAGATAGATAGATAGATAGATAGATAGATAGATAGATAGATAGATAGATAATGAAGAGACATAGATAGATAGATAGATAGATAGATAGATAGATAGATAGATAATGA